GCGCATCAAAGGAAATGCTGAAATCTAAGACACAAGAAACAGAAAAGCAAATGCGAATAAAAATATTTAAAATTATACACGAATACTTATACATATATTAAAATAAATAAATACTTCTTATACATACATACATACTACGTGCATATGTTGCAAAATATACCAAATAAATACTCATACTCGTATTATTGTGAAAGTATAGTATCTACGCATATACATACAATATATATATACATAAAGATATACATATATACATACATGATGTATTTGCATGTTGTCTGTAATTGCATAAAATTCGAAATTATTGTATGAATATTCATATTTATATATGAAATTAAAGGTTCTTTCAAAACAGCAACAACATTTCAATAACAGCAAATCAAAGTTTATTTCGAGTCTACATTTAACCAGCATTCATGCATACTTAACAAACAGCAACAACAACAACAGCAACAAGAAACACCCAAGTAACAATAAACGAGTTGATGATTGATACAAAAATAAATAACAAAAGCAAAAACAAAAACTATGGCAATTGTGTTGGTTTAGTTGAGGACACGCACAATTTCGCGTGCGTTTACCTGGAAATCTGTGACATTGGGCAGGTAAGTGGCGATCCTTGGAGTGGAAAAATGTGTGGCCAATTTCAGGCTAATGACACCAGGAAAACACTCTCGATCTTTCGCTGCCGCCCTCTTTAACGGTGCAGCCAGGCACAACACGCAGCGCCGCGTCGCGTCGTCTCGCCTCGTCTCTGGGCCCTGGCCTTGCCACTGCAGCTACCTGCAGCCAAGCCAAGACGGAATCGTTTTGGCCAGCAGATGTGCGACAGATAAAAACCAGGCACTTGCCACAGCTCAGACCAGTTACGACGCGACAGCCACAGCAACAGCAACAACAACTCGCACGCAATCTTTAGCAAGTAATAATAATAAACAAAATGCAAGCCAACTGGATGCTTGGGCTCTCGCTGTCATTGCTGGCACTCCTGGGCTGCGGTCGGGCAGCCAGCGTGGCTGTGCAGCTGCAGAGCCCCGCGTCGAATGAGCTGAACGACACCCAGACTGAGCTGCGGCCGCTGTCGTGGCTGCGGAGCGCCCAGGACATGTTCGCCAGCCCGGCGGGGCATGTGGTCGTCCAGGTGGCCAAGGAGCTGCTGCACCGCTCCGCGGGCAACAGTCAAGTACGTGCGCAGTTTGCATATTAACCAATCGAAAGACGATTACTGCATGTGTCAGCTATTCGCAGGTGCTCAGCTTGAACCTCACCAATCTGCTGATCATAGTGCTGCTCAAGGTGCTCATCTTCTCGGCCGGCCTGCTGGGAGCGGGCCATTGGAGCGGCGTGGGCTATGGCCATGGCTATGCGCGCTCCGCGTCGCGCATCGACGGCACCTACGGCCTGGGCCTCAGCTCCGGCGATGATTATCTCATAATGGGCTTTCTGGCCGCCCAGGGCGCCGGCCAAGACGACTGTCTGTATGCCGCGGCCTGCGCCTGCCCCAACGCGGCCTACGAGTACGCCAAGGCGGGCCGAGCGCTGCTGGGCGCCATCGATGTCTTCCAGGGGTGAGCTAGAGCCAACTTGTCCTGAAATTGATTTACGCTTTATTTATGGAGTCGACTCTTTGCAGCGCACCACTGGAGAAGCCGCGCTACAACGACCTCATCGTGCTAATGGAGCGCGCCGCCTACGACGGCTATCGGGGAGTCAGCTGCAACACCACCCAGTCCTGCGATGGCCTCCTATAGCCAGGTGGGCAGCCTGCCCCACCTCCAGCACCCAAGACACTAATACTCCCGGTTCAATTATTGTAGTACAAATCAAATATTTATTTAAATAGTGCTATTGTAGTATTGCTTTCGGCTGCGGCTGCGGCGGCTGCTGCTGCGGCTCTGTGGTTGTGTGTATGCTCGTGTGTACCTGTGTGTGTGTGTGTGTGTGTTATGTACAGTCTCAACGGTTCATCATGGAAATACACGTGTAGTTTAACTAAATGCTACAATTTAACTAAGCTACGTCTATTATTGTATCGAGAGAAGTCCATCTACGCCCAGTTTAGCGGAGCATGTTCCGCTCCAAGGCCAGCTGCTCCTTGCCCCCGGTGACGGCCTTCACGAACTCCGGATAGTGCAGCAGCCCGTCGTTGTTCTCATCCGCAATCAGCAGAAACTTGTCAATGGCATCTGTGAAATCCCCATAGGGTATATGCCCATTCGTATATGAATTCACGTTCGACTCACCTATAAAGTGGTCCAGTTCCTCGCTGGCATTCGGCAAATAGCTGTCGCGCTGCTCGTTCTTCAAGTAATCGTAGTTGTGGTGCATGGCCGACTGAATCATCTCCAGACCGTCGAGAGCATTGTTATTGTCATTGTCGTGCGCCTATATGAGGGTGTGTGGGTAAGTCAATGGGACTCGCAGCGAGCTACTGGGGCTGCTTACCTTGAACATGTAGAATATTTTCTCCTCCTCGCTCATGTCCTCCAGGCTCGCCTGAATGCCCATATCCTTGAGGTCGTCATCAATGCGACTGTTGGGAAATCAAAATATTTATCTAGAAACTATTCACACTCCCCCCAACCAACACTCACTGCTCCTCGTGGGTGAGATGCTGGTCGACTCGTCGTGTCTCCCCACGCGGATGATGGGGTCCCCGCTTGACCGCCAGGGCCCCGTCGAACGGCTGGCTGAAGCTGGCCATGCAGATGATGAAATTAAGCACATTCGACAAATTGTACATTTTGAGCATCCGTCAGACCAAACAAGTTGCTGCCCAATTTGTGTATATGTTCGTCATTCAGGGCTGGCATCTGCCCCCATCTGCCCAGCTGTCACACTGACAGCTCGCAGCGCGCATGCGTCGTCGTTGCCGCCTCGCCTGTCAGTTTCAAATCGTAGCCAAGCAACCCTTGGGCGAGTGGGGTATTTGTTCGATGTGCTCGGATTGTGGCACAGTTGACCATTTAACTAAAAACAACTCAGAACTACAAATTTTACATTTACATATTTGAGGTTGCACCGATTTCAGTGAAAATGTGTGAAACTTTCTGTGATGATTTGGAGAGCTTCAATCCAGAAGCGGAATTTCTTAAATTTATCAAACGTAAGCCGCAAGTGCAGACGGCCAAGCTCTATGAGAACTTGCACAAGCGCGAGGATATCAAATGTCCCTGTAAGTGACCAGCCTCTAGATCTATGTAGATCTTCGTGGAAATGATTCGCGTAATCTCTCCTCAGATAACTTCAAGGGCTATGGCGTGGAGAAGGACACCAATACCATGTACCGCACTTGCAACTCTGAATATGGATACTATGCTCCGAATGCCTATACCATACCAACGCGCTTCTTTCCCCTCTCCCAGAAATTCTCGAACGATGTCGTGCGCTTTGGAATGTATCGAAATTTCTCGCTGAATACACATATGGATCGAACCTTCTATTGAGATCCGCGTTGAGTCCCAATTCAGAGAGTTTTTGTGTTCGTATAATACAATGGATGATGAGCAACAAGTCAGCAAGCACAGTGAATGAAGTTTGCTTGGACACCTTTTCAAATTTTTATACCACGTCTCCGATCTTACAACGATGCATGAAATACTTGCCACCAAATTTTATCTGACCATCTTTACAATATTTAGACGTTATACACATCCTTAGTTGCACAGTTGCAGAGCATCAAATTTATTGAAATAAAATTGTTTATGGTTACAAGAAAAAC